TCTTTCGAAACCTTGGTAGGTGTCTAGTTACCTGATGCGACAGAAAGAAAGTAGCAGTATAAATATTACTTTATATTACTTAAAGGCAACAGTGTTTCGGGGTTACGTCTGCAAAGTACCAAGCGAAAAAATCACTCCGCCGCACCTGTCTTGAGCAATCTGAGTTCCTTTTTCTTGGCCGGATTTTTGTTTCACAAACACTCTTCTTGGTATTCCGAAGAACAATTTAGGTCCGCACTGCTGGCAGGCAAAAAATAACGTCAGCCCGTGGTCTCGCTTGTTATCGTCGATTCCACAAGAATACGATAGTTACAGTTTAAGAAAAGTTTTCGAGGGAAAGGAAGGTTGAGGAGGAGGAAACAGACTGAACGCTGGAGAGAGGAGGAGGAGGTCTCCTTCTCTCATTTTCAGCGTTCCGTTTAATTCCTCCTCCCCGGCCCTCCTTTCCCTTGTTATTCGCGACTCCAGCAAAACGGACGCCGCCAAGCGGGAAAACCGGGAACCAGCCGGTCCAGGTCGCTCCGCGCCCCGCCGCGTCTCTGATGGCTTTCGCGGACGCGTGCTGTCGGCGCGGCGGCGAGCAATGTAATTTGACGAAGGTCCGAAAATTTCTTAAGTTTGCCTGAGTGTTCATTAGCGTGGTGAAGCCTCAGTAGATTGTTTCTTTCCATCACGTGTTTGAAAGCCCGTTTATTCCACAACACACGATCGCGTGCTTTCAATTTTTTGGATGGGGAGGAATCACGGAAAAACGTTTTGATTTCTCGTCTGTCTCTAATCACAATCAAAGTGACGACTGCTTGGTAACTGATAAGCGGTTTCTTTATAAGGATGTAGAACAGTAGACTGAGGTCGACAGACGAAGTGTTTTACTGGAGGGGACACCAATGTTGCAGTCAAGTGAATGAGATGGTTCGATAGCTGCTTTCCTTGAATTTGGTTGTGCTGGATTAGCTTCAGGTTAATCTGAGCCATTAACGCCGGCCGGTGCATTGGCTGTTCATCTTGGCGGCTTTTCGCAGAAAAAGACCACATTGAAGGAGTTGGGCTAATTTCGCAATTACTTGATTCAGAAAACCTGCTCGCTGCATATGAGGGAAATTATCTGCTTTCAAAGGTGGGGGACGCGTCTCGCAAAGATAGAAGCTGTCACGTCATTAGGATCTATCGCGCCTCCAATACTTATAACCCCTGTCGAATCCAGCAGCAATATACGTCTACATTGCTCAGGTTGAACGGCCACAAAAAAAAAAAAAAAAAAGAAATAATAAAATACTAATTTTATTTGTTCAGGATTCGAAGTCAAGTTCAATGCAGAGGGGTCTGAGTGAATCTCCGATGAAGACTCTCCTCAGCTTGTCCGCATTCGTCCCGTTCTACCGGCTAGAACCATTTGGCTAAGTTTAAGTAGTATCTCTCTGTCTGTCAACTATACTTTTATTCAGCAGTTCACCCTAACAGTTAGTCAACTAAATTCATATTTCAACCCGAAGAACATACTAATATCGCTTTAGTGGGACCATAGTACGTAATATAATACATAACCGCATATTCATCAAAATGACTTCTTGATTGCCACTAAAACCTGAATTGAAATACGAGTATCAGCTGCTTAGTGAAGTGCCAGCGAGTTGACATGCTCCTTGGCTCAAGAAGCGCTTGCTTAATTTTCGTAATTTTCCTGCACCCTGTGTTCTTGACCGAGCACACGACTGCAGCTGTTTCTTGAAACGCGGACAGGCACAGAAGCTCAATTTCGCGGACAGGTAAGTCGCATGATCGAGGCATGCGAGTTAGCTAAACATTACTCTTGGTGGAACAATTTTGTAGCCCTCGCCGCTTTCCTTAGATGATCAAAACTAATTAGAGTCTATTACTGTTTCTCCGGAGCCCATAGTTTCGGTTTTGATCGAAGTCTCCGCAGCGAAAGTTTGACATGAAAAGAACAAAAAACACCGGCAAAACAAAACTATGCTCGGCACGTTTATGCGCACCGGCTAAACTTAACTGTCTCAGTTTAAATACCCATAAAATTGGGCATTCAACAAAAGAATAATCGTTAAATTGAATGCGCCACCCATTCAGGCGGCCCGGCCGATCTGACGCGACCTGGACTCAGCCGCCATGTTTGTTTGGTGGTGGCGCCCCCTATAGGTCGCTGGAGTCGCGAATCTTGTAACTCATGTTTACAAACAAACCGGAGTGCCCCCGGCGGACGCCACCGGCGCCGCGCATGCGCGATAGAGTGTGGGCAATAAGCTCGCCGTCGCCCATTAAACAAACCATTGGAATGCTGTGTTGTCGGCGTCGGTGTGAGTCCCCGCGCTCTTTTTCGCGTTGGAATTGTTGATTCTACGTCCTCCTAACGATGTCTGACTACTTTAGTCGCCTCAGTGAAATTAATAAGGTTCGTTACACCGCGAAACATCGCGTGAATAATGCGACATGCGGCCATTCCTTCTGCGTGGACGCCGCAGAATGGACGTTAAAGCCTGATTCGCATGATGAGATTCTTCTCGCTATTTTCAGTCGTGACGTCTCTCAAGCGGCAAAAGCACGAAGCCTAGCTGAGATGGTCGACGTCGATAAAATCGGACAGAGTGAATAGAAGTCTCCTGAATAGAAGCCCACGTCATGTGATGCCAACGCCGTTAGGTATCAAGTTTCGGAGTGAGGAGAGCTGACATCGGTACAATACAAAGGGCGCAACAAACCTGCCATGCAGTGGCGGCACGCACGATTATCCCACAATATCCGCTGTTGTTTGCACCGAAAAAAAAAAGGACGAGGGGAAGCGACCGCGGCAAACAGCGGTGCGTCTTCAGCTGTAAACGCCGACTGTATACGCAAGGCAATTGAGAGTCAAGAATGCGCATGTGCGGAAACCTCTGCGAAAATCACACTCGGACAAACCTTCTCAGCTCTCGTGTAAGGTGGCGTGCTGGGCGAGAATGCCAGGTTGCGACGCGGGAGCTCAACTTCAATATTTTTGACGTAGAACTACGTCTTTTTCTTATCTTATCTGCTGGCTTCCTCGTTTGCTCGTTTCAACGCGACCGATAGACGCCACTCCGACAGCCGGGATTCTCTGCGGCATGGGCAGTTCACGCGACTCTCGCGCGAGAATCGGCGAGGGGGTACAAGCAATCTCACGCTATTCCGTGCATGCGCCTCGGAGATGGGGGCGCGGGGGCTACACATTTTCCCCTACCGGACTCCGAACCATGCGCATTCGCTTCTTGCGTACCGAACGTCGTCATGCGGTAGGAGCCCGTGGAAGTTTCTTCAGGTGTGTCCGTAGTTTTACGGAAATCTATGCAGCGTAGTAAATCTATGCACAGACCAATTTTTTTTTTGTTCGCTGAAAAAAATATTTGAATTAATCTTTTAGAAATGAGGGGCAACGAACTCGTATTGTAAAGTTTCTTTTTTTCGTATTCTTACTTGAACCACCCATGGAAGAATAAACGGCAGTTTTGGCAGCAAAAAAACTTTTTCAGTAATTTTAAATTTTGCTTCAGTGAATTATTTTGCTGTACAGTTTCAAACATTTTTTTTTTCAAATTTGTAATACATCTTCAGGGCTTCCAACAAAAAATTACAATTGCCAGGCGCAAAGGGATATTTCAACGAAAATTTAGAAAAGTTATACATTTTTTTCAATTTCTTAAAATATTGAAAAACATTTTGACTAAAAAAAATTACATAATCATCACAACATAGCTTCTAAAAGCCGTTCAAATTAAAAAAAAAAATTTAAAGCGTCTCGAAAGTAAAAAAGAAGATATTTAATCAATCATTGAGTGATACCTAGTTTCACGCCCATTTTTGAAGTTGAAACCCCGCTCACGCCATAAAATTTTGTTTTCGGCTAATTTGTTTTGGAAAAATATAACGGACTTTAAGGTAAGAAGCCATGCATATTTTTTTTTTTTTTTTTAAATTGGAAATGGTCGAGCGCAACGTCTTGAAGTTGAATGACCCTTTCCTATAAATGGTTCCACAAGACAGAAGCGAATTCGAGTCGGGCCTAACCACAGAACAACATAAACGTAACATAGCGTCATGCGCTTGAACGTGCCGAGCCAAACGTGAGATCATACCAAGCAATTTAAAACTGGTATTACGAATGGTAATGACATGAGATTTGAACGTGAGTTGGCAATCGTCTAACAGACCAAGGTCCTTGATCACATCTGGTCCAGTAATAGCACAGTTGTCCAACTTGCACATAAAATCGAAGGAATGTTTACGCCTTCAAAGCGAGATAACTTTTGCTTGGTTGGCGTTCAAAGGCAAACAGTTTGACGAGCACCATTTTGAAATACTCGTAACATCAGGCTGGTGCGATTAAGTCTATTTCAGAACACATATGAGAAAATAATTTAATGTCATCGGTGTATAAGAGCGCCATATCGAATTTGATACAATCTGAAACATACCAGTTATGAACCAGGAAAAACAGTGGGCCCAATGCTGGCCCCTGGGGAATTGCTATGGCGGGGATTACAACAATTAAAATATATGAATTAAGCTGTACTTAACATCTGCAGTAATTGTCTCTTCTCCATAGTCATCCGTGATCGAAAAAAATTATTAATTAATCTCAAGTTATATTGAAAAATACATATGGTGGTAAAGAATCATTAATTTATAGAGATATAAATATCATGTCTTTCATTTATATCATATAAACATGATTTAAATCAACTAATTGGGATTTATTAAATTTAAAAAGAAATATATTTTTTCCACCCCGCTGTAAATCATGTCTTCCTAAGGTCGTAGTTGTCCTAACTAAGAATCAAACTCGTTATCAAAAGCATTTCTATTCCTAGCATATTGATCCTGATACGACGAGCAATCTAGCGGTAGTCCAAGTTACGAGTAAAAACCCTCAGCGATGAGAAGAGAAAAAACTGTACTAAATCACGCCTAATTAAAACTCTGATTCAGCTTTGCACTCCAATAAAGTATTCGAATTTTCTCTTTTGTTCTAGGTCTGGGATTGGGACTCACCATAATTGCAATGGGTGTCCTCCTCACCATGTACTTCGACCGATACAGAGGCGTAGCTTCAGGAATCAAGTTTGCCGGAATGTCCGGTTCCGGTCTGGCATTTCCCAAGTTCCTCTCTTATTTGCAACACAAGTACGGCTTTCGCGGCATGCTCCTCGTCTACGGGGGAATCGCTACTCACGTCACGGCATTCGGACTCTTGCTGAAAGAACCTCCCTGGATATGTCTGAAGACTCGTGGTAAAAAAGAAGCAAAGTCAGCTGTCCAGGGCACCACGGGGCTTCAATGCGGTTTGCCGAACGCGGAGCAGCGTTTTGATTGTCCTACAAGCAGCAAGACCGAACCTTGGAGAAATCTCTCGTCCCTGTTAGTACTATTGCGTCAACCTACGTTTTATGTGGTTGTTTTGTGTGCCGCTATCGCGGACTTGACATCCCCGACATTCACGTCAACAATGGTCGACTACGGGGTAGACAAAGGCCTTTCGCTTTCAGATGCAGAGTCCCTGATCGTCTACGGATCGTGCACTGAAATCGCCGGACGACTGTTCCTCCCTCTTTTAGCCGACGCAGGGTGGATCCGACGCAGTACTCTCGTGATGATAGGCTTTTTTGTAGCCGGTTGTTCGATGATATTGATGCCACATGCGATCCTTCGAACGCACGTCCTTCTTGTTTGTATGTGTGTGTATATTTTCCTGGGATGTCTGACTACCATGAAGACCGTTCTGATGGCGGACTATCTTGGTATTGAATGGATCTCAACTTGCCATGGGATCTCAGGATTGCTCTTGCTTCCTCTAACTTTCATCACTCCATCAATAATTGGTAAGTGTTCTCATTGCGCAGTCGACGTCGTGTCTGAAATAATTAGAACAGCGTAAGGGTAATGTTTATTTTGTATATTATTTCATTACCCACCAGTTAAGTTGTCACTTTCCAACTAAAATGCATATTTGATTAATCCCACAAATATAGGCTGCAGTGAGAGAGCTTGAAATGCATTGCTAATAAAGCGATGACATAGAGCGAAACAGCGCGTTTTAAAATTAGATTCGCATTGTTTGTTAGGTTTAGTTACGCTATAACTTTCGAGTTCTGGTTGCTCAGAAAATTTACATAGGAGTGCACACAACAAAGAAAGAAACTATTTAGTACAATATATAGAGTGGCTACGGTGGAACTTATGCTGTAAGAAGAGTAAAAAAAAATCAGCACCTGCACGTAGAGTAAGCTCCAGCTTTCACCGAATGTGCGTTGAGGTGGTGGATTTTACCTTGGGAAATTTCAAGGTGCCGTTTTCTCCCAGTATGAGATAAAAACAATAAGCATTCCACTGTCAACGGCGGACATGTTCGCACAAGACAGAGCTGACAATGAATGTATTGTGACTCCATCTCACGATAAGCTTAGCGAACGGACAACCAAGTGTGTAGCCCGCTTACTGCGCCTTTTGGGAGATGGCGCCAGAAGTTACATTCATCGCTGTTCGTCGCTAACTCGGTCGTCTGCGAACACGTTGTTACAAAAATAAAGGTTAATAGCACGGGCCGCTGACAGGTGACACTGGTGGCGCATAAGGTGTAGTGTAGTCAGCAGTTACTAGATGTCGTAAGTAAGGAGCCGACTCCTCCTCTTTCCCCTCTCTCAGTTACCCTTTGTCCCCAAAGTGACTCATGGGGAAGACCAACTTTTGGGACGGGAGAGCCATAAGAGAGGTTTAGTATATCGTTCCGATTACGCCGATAACGATACCCGATACTCTGACGCAGCCTTTGCGCATGCCTCCTATCGTTATCAAGAGAGCCGTGTGCGGATAGCAGTTTGATCATCCGCATCAGATCCGCATCCCCAGACTTTGTATCCGCATTAGATCCGCATCCGCAGTATTTTTAAATTACTGTACCCGCATAAGATTCGCACCCGCATACATTGTATCCGTCTCCGATTCGCATACCCTTTATCCGTATCCAAACCGCATCCGCATCAACATACCTTGTATCCGTAACCGAACCGAATCCGCATATCTTGTATCCGTATCCGAACCGCATTCGCAAAATTGGGAACCGCATACGACTCGTATTTCGCGCTGTCATTTTACATCATAACATCAGACGTAAACATCAGACGTAAACATCAGACGTGAACACGCACACACACACACACACACACGCCCAAACAGACACACACACACACAAAACACACGCACGCACGCACACGCACACACGTATACACACGCATACACACGCGCACACACACACAAAGAGTTTGTAGCGTGAAGGTCACTTGCTTATCTTTGTACAAATAACTCTGAGTTAGAATACGATGAATAGTTTTACGCTGTGTCTAAGGGTGCGTCGGACGTGTCCGGAACGCGGAGTCTAAAGGGCGACGCACATAGGGCGTGTTCTCGACGAATTTACGCGCGTTTCAGCGGACGTAATCACGGGATTTGGCGGGCGCTTTTTTCACAGAAGGGAAGAGGGAAAGGTGGCCAAACCACACACGACGCTTTTCGTCGACGTCTCCTCGGCGTTTGGGGCAGTGTAGCCCGACTCGCGCCTTTCATGAAAAGATGCAAAATGTAGATAGACTGCTACATTATTGCGTTCCGCGAGGAGACAGAAATAACTGAATGTTAATAAGCAACCAAAGCCTAATTTGCTAAGACCTGTTTCAAAAATGTTCCTTGCAACCGTCAAGTGGCCAGAAACTGCCAGCAGGAGGACGGCCGCGACCTCTGCTCAAAACCCTTCCTTTTGTAATTCTTTTCACATCGCCCGCAACATCGGTGGTATTTTCTTCTGTCTCAGTCGTTCATCGCTCGTTCCAAAGAGATATTGCGATTTCGTACAGTTCGCCGATAAACCGGTGAACGCGACAAGCGAGCTCCCATTTCGGCGGCCGAGTCAAGCCAGCCAGCCGGCCGCATAGCTAGGCAAGCCGATTCTCGAGCAACTTCCGGCTCTCAACTCGGGAGCTGATTGGCCGGCACCGCGCCGTACGCTCCCGGATACGCCACGCCGAAATACGCCGGTGCGCCGAGATCTGTCTCGGTCGGATCGCCGAATACGCGCGTATTTACGCCGACCTCGGAAGCGCTCGTCCTGGCGCCCGCTGTACGTTGGGATTACGCCCGCCAAAACTCCCGCAAATACGTCGCAAATACGCCCTATGTGGTTCGGGGTTTAATGTACGTCGGACGTAGCCAGAACGTCCAAAAGTGCGTTGGACGTAGCCAGAACGTCCAAAAGTGCGTCGGACGTACCCGGAACGAAGAACCTAAAGGTACGTCGGACGTACCTGGAACGTCTAAACGTACGTCGGACGTACCCGGAACGTCTAAAGGTACGTCGGACGTACCAGGAACGTCTAGAGGTACGTCGGACGTACCCGGAACGAGAAGTCTAAAGGTACGTCGGACGTACCCGGAACGTCTAAAGATGCGTCGGACGTACCAGGAACGTCTAGAGGTACGTTGGACGTACCCTGAACCTCTAAAGGTACGTCGGACATACCCGGAACGTCTAAAGGTCCGTCAGACGTACCAGGAACGTCTAGAGGTACGCCGGACGTACCCGGAACGTCTAAAGGTACGTCGGACGTACCCGGGACGTCTAAAGGTGCGTCGGACGTACCAGGAACGTCTAGAGGTACGTCGGACGTACCCGGAACGAAGGATCTAAAGGTACGTCGGACGCACCCGGAACGTCTAAAGGTGCGTCGGACGTACCAGGAATGTCTAGAGGTACGTCGGACGTACCCGAAATGAGGAGTCTAAAGGTACGTCGGACGTACCTGGGACGAGGAGTCTAAAGGTATGTCGAACGTACCCGGTACGTCGGACGTACCTAGGACGTCTAAAGATACGTCGGACGTACCCGGAACGAAAAGTGTAAAGGTACGTCGGACGTACCCGGACCGAGGAGTCTAAAGGTACGTCGGACGTACCCGGAACGTCTAAAGGTACGTCGGACGTACCCGGAACGTCTAAAGGTACGTCGGAAATGAGGAGTCTAAAGGTACGTCGGACGTACCTGGGACGAGGAGTCTAAAGGTATGTCGAACGTACCCGGTACGTCGGACGTACCTAGGACGTCTAAAGATACGTCGGACGTACCCGGAACGAAAAGTGTAAAGGTACGTCGGACGTACCCGGAACGAGGAGTCTAAGGGTACGTCGGACGTACCCGGAACGTCTAAAGGTACGTCGGACGTACCTGGGACGAGGAGTCTAAAGGTACGTCGGACGTACCCGGAACGTCTAAAGGTACGTCGGACGTACCCGGAACGTCTAAAGGTACGTCGGACGTACCTGGGAAGAGAAGTCTAAAGGTACGTCGGGCGTACCCGGAACGTCTAAAGGTACGTCAGACGTACCCGGAACGTCTAAAGGTGCGTCGGACATACCAGGAACGTCTAAAGGTACGTCGGACGTACCCGGAACGGAGAATCTAAAAGTACGTCGGACGTACCCGGAGCGTCTAAAGGTCGTCGGACGTACCAGGAACGTCTAAAGGTGCGTCGGACGTACCCGGAACGAAGAATCTAAAGGTACGTCGGACGTACCCAGAACGTCTAAAGGTGCGTCGGCCGTACCAGGAACGTCTAGATATACGTCGGACGTACCCGGAACGTCTAAAGATGCGTCGGACGTACCAGGAGCGTCTAGAGGTACGTCGGACGTACCCAGAACGAAGAATCTAAAGGTACGTCGGACGTACCCGGAACGTCCAAAGGTGCGTCGGACGTACCAGGAACGTCTAAAGGTGCGTCGGACGTACCCGGAACAAAGAATCTAAGGGTACGTCGGACGTACCTGGGACGACGAGTCTAAAGGTACGTCGGACGTACCCGGAACGTCTAAAGGTGCGTCGGACGTACCAGGAACGTCTAGAGGTACGTAAGACGTACCCAGAACGTCTAAAGGTACGTCGGACGTACCTGGGACGAGGAGTCTAAAGGTACGTCGGACGTATACGGAACGAGAAGTTTAAACGTACGTCGGACGTATCTGGAACGAGGAGTCCAAAGGCACGTCAGACGTATCCAGAACGTCGAGTATGAAAATACGTCAGACATATTGCAAGCAGCCCAATTTTGTACAAGAAATTAGAGATCGGAGACATGCGATGTCTGATCTCCGCCAAGGCTGAGCGTCAAAACGTCGCTTGTTTCCTTTCCCCTTCTCTTTGCACGTCTTATCCACGCTTTTAGTTTTGTCCCCTCCTTTACGTGCCGGCAGCACACCACCGTTTCGTCGCTAGCACTCGGTTTCATCATCAGTTGGTAGATTTCGGCACACAACGGCACTCACGCTACCGCACAGGCGCGTTAGAATATAGGCACAAGTAAGGCGTTGTGTGTTCTATTTCTGTTTCGCCGCCGTTCGCTCGACTTCGTCGTCTGACTTGCAAGCGCGCATCTTTCTTTCTTTACGTGGTTCAGGCCATTTGTTAAGGCGTTTAGAACTTTGCTGTTCACCATGAGTGCGAAGAGGACTTTGTACACAGTGAAGTTAGAACAGTGGTCACGTACGCGAAAGACAAAGGGTACCACGGCACTGCAGAGCATCTGCGATACCGTATGATACGGTGGAGAAGACAACGGGGGTAGGTATTCAAGGGCGCCGCGACCCATAGAAAGTGTACGGGACCGTGCAATAATGCGAAAGTCGACATCCGGAACTCGAGAAGAAAATCCGTGAGTTTGTATTCAGCTAACTGGACGGGGCCACCGAGGACTCGTCGAGTCGCAATGAAAGCAACTGGTTGACCTGGTGCACGGTAAGAATTGACGGCGAGCGGACTAATTCTCTCCAGGGTTCG